TTCAATCCCCAGTTCCGGAAAAAAAAAAAAAAAAAAAAAAAAAAAAAAAGAATCCTGGCCCTATTCTTTATTACCCAGTACATAAAGTTAAATGAACAAATAAGATAATGAGTGGAATTCAATCTACTATCTACAAAATATTCTTTAAAAATTGACATTTCCATGTCACCTTCTTACATAAATACATAATTAAGAACATGTGGAAAATGTACTTTTGACATTTAGGAACTATGAATTTTCAAAATTTCTTACATATTACCTCCATATTATGTAAGCTAATATTCTCAAGATTCCAATGAATTAACATTCTCCTATGCTGAATAGAAACAAAAAATATACAGTCCTGAGTAATGGATATGGGAGGTTATATGGTAATATTATTTATACAAAATTATAGTAAAATTTTTTCTATGTTTAGGATCATGGCAGAAACTTATTTTGTCTGTAATATAACTAAAGTTTACAGAAATTTTCTTCATTTTTTCATATTGTTATCCAATCAACAAAGAGTTTCAAGAATTCACACTTTATGACTGAGATCTAGTAGATAATTTAAGAGAGTGAGAAAGAATGGTACAAAATACAAATGTAAAATTATTGTTAGAAATTTTTTGAAATTTCAAAGTCGTACAGAAGAGCACTAAACCAAGTGTTTCTAAACATGGGACCCTGTGCAAACTCATAGTTCATAAACCCATAAATTTGGCTTTACTTACTACAAATAAGCTTTAGTCTTTAAAACACAGGATTCTGATTTGGTTCCACTGATTTTTAAGACTAAAAGAAATTCTTTAACAGAATTTGCCCAAATAAATATGATTTGACCTCCCTTTTAATTTCATAAAGTATGGAGAAAGAATATAACCTAGTTCTTACTACCTCTAAATTTGAAAACATATGAAGACAGTCAAAAATTAGACTGTCTAACTTGAAATGCTTATGATAATTCTAGAGTAAATAATAATCATCTGTACTTACAATTGGCATTGATCACCTTTTATTCCTTTAGTTGTGCAGAAACATTTTCCTGTGTGCAAATGACAAATATTTGCATGTCCACTGCATGTACAAGCTGCAAGTTCAAAACCAAAACAATACTGAATATTCTATATCACAAACAAATGAATGCAAACAAAATATACAGTGAATGTTTAAAAAATGAATTACAGTGAAAGACATATTGTCATTAATTCCCCTCAAAATACTTCTCCTAACTTCAAACATTTGTCTCATTATTCTTGTCACTTTTTTAAACAGTTTTCTAAAAATTAAAGTAAGAGTCTTAGAGTACAACAGCTTAGTTTCAAAACATACATCTATAATATCTATGTGATGTTAGGCAATTTGCTTAGGCAATTACTCCACTAAGAGAGAAAGGTCCTGAGTTCATATATATAGAGAGAGAACATCTGGAATGAGGAAAGAGAGAAAATATCATTTCAACATAGGTAAGAGCTTTGATTTTTCATGACCTAGACAATTTTACTTTTTATGCAAATATGTGCTTGCAATTTAAATTCAAGACTCCTTATATTAACTAATAGTCTTAGAATACATAAAAAGTAAGGGAAAATTTATTCTGCTGAATACATTCTCTCAAAATAATAGACAAAAATATTGTGTTTTGATTATATTCCATTCATCTTGCTTGTACATTCTATCAATTACATATTTATTAGCAAAAATTTTTTGAGAAAACATCATTATTTTGTAAAGGCCAGAGGTTATGGTTGTGATTTTAAATTGTGTATATACTTTATGCTTAAGAAGCTATAACTCAAACAATGAGATGAATACAAATAAAATCATCTAAAGACTAGAATTATTCCAACACACCACTTGTACAGTCCATGTAGTGCTTCTTTAACCCATCTCATTACTTCTCACTACCAGAACTAAATGCTAGCCTAAATCTGTGTTCATAAGTTCCTTGTTTATAAAATTAGAACACAGAAATCATTTATAATATTTAATATTTTATTAGTCAGTGAAGATATCTAAAACAAATTCTTAAAAATAATGTCATATAGGACCAAGAGAGTGCAACAGCTCAGTTTCAAACATAATTTACAATTTCTAACTATATGACTATAGACAATTTGCTTATCTAGTAAGAGAGGATGGTCCTAAGTTCATATAGATGGACTCCTAATTTACAAGCAACAGACCAGCATAAGGCAAAATGGAGAGAGCCTCACCTACTCAAGGCCATGAGAAACTGGACCTAGACACACACGCAGACACACAATGAGTTGAGAAAAAGAGGGCCTGACTCTCCCTACAGTGCACCATTCAGAGTATACTCAGCAACAAGGCTGGTCCCTGAGAACAAAGCCGGATGTTAGGGTTTGTATCTAATGACCCCCAAAGCCTCATGAAGTCATTGGAGAGGCATCTAGAGTTTATGAATGTAGGGATTATGGGTGTGAATGCCACACCCCCACTGGGGTGGATATCCTGAATACAACATAAGGAAGGGAGAGAGGCTTGCTTGCTGCCACAGTTACTTCTCCTCCCTTTCCCCTTAGCTGTTTTCTGCTGCCATGAATGGCGGCCCTTTGCCTCGTGCCACTCTGCTTTAAAGCCAGCCGAGTATGGGCTGAAATCTCCACTAACTGTGAGCTACATAAACCCTTCCTTCCTTAATTTTGGTGTCGGTATCTTTTCCCAGAAACAAGAGAAAAGTAACCAAGATGCATGCCCAAGGCAAACCACATGAACAAGCTGCTTCAGTTCAGAGAACATCAAGCTACAAGGCAATCCAAGAAGGCTGCTAGACAAAGTGGTGTCACATGACATCAACTTTCCAAATGCATAAATAAATGTGCTGAGGGGGGTGAACAGTTCCTTTCCTCCTATCCAGAGCAAGGGCTCCACCAGATCCCAGCTCTTCAGTATCTTGTCTTCATTTCTTCACTATCTTTCCGGCCTTCACAGTCTTCTTTTAGAGAAATTTGAAAGCTGAGTGGGTGTGACGTGGCTGAGATCCAGGTATGGAGAGGAGCCTCAGTTCCCTTTCCTCCTTCCCCCTGGCATGCGCAAGGTGCTTGGCAGTGGCACCAAACCAACAGCTTCAGGGTTCTGTGAGTTCCTACAATAGCATCACACCACCTCAAATGCTGGACGTATCAGGTCCTCTCAATGGCAATGGTCCAAAGGGCTTTAACTTCCATAGGATAACTCCTGTCCTTGTCAACCTGTACTTCCTGCTGTTGACTGCTTGTCTCCACTCTTAACTCCCCCTTGATGGCAGTCTTCAACCCAGTGCCAAGCATTAACTAAGATTTGCTCACTTCTGGCTTCTTCTCACCTATATCTTCCTAAGGGGACACTGTTACAAAGAATACACAGAGACACAAGCCTTCTACTGGAATCCTAGGAGTATACAGAATAGGATTAAAGCAGTGCATGCTATGAATGAGGATAAGCTCCCATCTCAATTGCCTGAGAAGGGTGATGCCACCTGTGACATCAGTCTGAAGGATTGAATAGGAGCCTGGGGACAAGAAATGGCAGGCAGTGAGGGTCTGAGCAGCAGGCTGGGCAGCACACTGTATGAGAAAGGGGCAACATAGGACACACTGAAGATCCCACCAAGGACTAGACCATTGTCTCATCCTCACCAATAGCTAAGCCCTGTGACCAAAAATAAACATTCTAGAAAATTCAAAATTCTAGACTCTGAAGGACTGTAGCACTTCAGGGGAGGACAGTACCTCCAGATTCCTCTTTCCAGGGTCATCAATTGAAGCTCAGTGACGCTGGGGCTGCAGATCTCTGGGATGGCTTCAACTTCTCAACCTTTAAGAAGATTCTGGACATAGAGCTACTGCAGAATAACTGATGTAACATGCATGACTACCTAGGGGTGTCAGGGATTGTGGATAAGAAAGACTCTTTATTCAAAGATTTCCTTATATCCATCATCTAACATAGCATTCATGGTATCCTTTAGCCAGGAACTAGACTGATCATTGGAATATATTCTCTGGAGAGTATGAAAGCAGCTGATGGTCAGAGAGACCTGGGTAGCCCTGTACAATCCTCCATCTCCAGCTGATTGCCAGAAACACTTTGAGCTACCTGTGAACTATATCCATGAGCAATAGATTCCATGAAGATGGGTCCTGAACCCAAATGAGAATGATGACAGAAACAATATAATCTCTTTAATCATCATTTTTGACTCACACTCCAAGTTAAACAGCATAGAATGTCTGCAGCCTGGCAATACAGACCTCCTGACTAAGAAGGACAGAGAATTAATGAAGCTATTTGCTGGTTAACATAGCACCTCTACCATCACAAAGACTTCTATTGCTGCAATATGACCCAGAACCTAAACAAGAAAGTACCTTCCAATACCACAGGAAGCCCCTGAGATTACAAAGGGCAGATCTGATATCCAGAGCACTGCTCATCGCTGACGCAAGTCAGGAGTAGCCTGAGGAGATTTAGGACACACCCTGAGGACTTGAAGGTAGCACAATTCCTGTACCTGTTTTTTCTCCCTCATCCTTCCTTCACCATATGGGCCTTCCATGTTGTTTCTGCAACAGGCTCTGTACAATGGCCTCAGCACAGAAACCCAAGTTCATATGGCCTTAGATTTCCCACCAGGTTATAAGCATCAAACCTAATGATGTCCTTTAGGAAATTGCCATATGGCTTATTCCTCCCTGCTTTTTATTTGAATCACTTTTTTAAGAGGTGTCTTCTTATCAATAATTAATTATATGCATCTATTATGTGATAAATAACCATCTTCTATCAATTCCATTTTGTCCTCCAGTTTTTCTCACATGTACAATTCTTGAGTTGTTCACTCTGTGTGTCCACAACCCTCCTTCCTTCTCCATACTTATCTCCTCCATATGGATTTTTTATCCTTTTTCCTGCTCTTCAGAAACTTCTCTTGCAAAAACTGGCTGCTAGCCTTTGTCTTTAGTCTGGTGGCTGCTAACCAAGCCTTACCTCACCCACTATCAGAAATGTGGACACAACTGATCACAGATAAAAACCGAAGAAATTAATATATCAAAACTTAACATAACTTTTAAAAATGAAAAAAAACATATGATAAGCCTTCATCACAATGCAATTCCATCAAAAGTAAATACCTAAAATTTTACCAAAAATGCATGTGAGAATTTAAGAAAAAAAAACAAAACTGTAGAGCAATGATATAGCTAGATGACAGAATCAGATTTTCTGGTGAATGATGTATAAAAGTCTAGACAATAATGAAAAACCAGAGGACAACAAATAACACATATTGCAAAAATAGATATTAAAATTTCATTCTATTCAATGAGATATACAAATTCAATGTAATGTCTGATAATCATAGTTTGCACAAAACAGAAAAAAAAACACTAAATCTATATGGAAACACAAAATACACCAAAAAGCCAATACAATCTTGAAACCAAAAAGAAGAGAACTAGAGATATCAAGCCACCAAATCTCAGCATATACCACAAAGCTGTAGCACACAAAACACTATGATGTGCCCAGAACTTGATATAGTGGCTAAATGAACAAGATATAGAATCTAGACATACATTTACAGTTGATTTTCAAAAAAAAAAAAAAAAAACGTTCTAAGAATACCAAATGGCAGGGTAGGGGAGGACCTCTTTAATAAATGGTACTAAAAAGAAACTGGACATTCACATGAAAAGTGAACATTTATTCCATATAAAAAAATAAAGTCAACTACATTAACGACTAAAACATAAGACCTGCGATGGTAACACTACCAGAAGAAAACATAAGATAATTATTTCTACAACATCAGACCAGGCAAATATTCCTTAGATATGATTTAAAAATACAAGCAACCAAAACAAAAATAAGCAAATGGGATAGCTTCAAACTAAAAGGTTTCTGTATAGGGGGAAGCAAAAAAGAAAACAACCTACTGTTTGGAAAAAAATATGTGTAAACTATACATTTAATGAGAGGCTAATATTCAAAATATATAAGGAATTCCATTCAAAAAGAAGAAAATAAAGAAGTAAACTAAAAATGGATAAAGGGGCTAGGTAGGGTGAAGCACACCAGTAATCC